TATTATTTTGTAATTTATTTGGGCAAAGGTGTATTTAACTGAGCAGGGGGGGGGGGGGGGGTAGTGGACCCGGAGAAAAGCCACGAAGTGACGCAGGTGACTCTACGCCTTGCAACATACAATTGTTAACAGACCTTATAATATAAAGCTCGGGCTTAAACCACATGGCCATCCAACCCCGATTTGTGTATTCACATATATAAGGTTTTAACAGATCAGGAGATCTTAGCCAGACAATGGCCTCCTACACTTCATCGAATTCCAGCTGGCAATGGTTATTTTACGTGCATTCTAACGTAATCACGGGACGTCGGCTGTTCGTATGATCCGAAGTACTAGAGACTGTTTCTTGCCAGACCCTCCATCTATCACGAATGACAAGAGGAAGCCAGACTAGAAAATCCTAAGAAACTTTTTAAACCAAGATCGCGATTGCACCCATGACCCTTTGATTAGTGAACAAGCGCCTTGGTTCCAATGTGTTAAAACAGTTACGACCAAGTATCTACTTATCGGCTTTATTTCAACTATTAACACGGGTTGCCAGTCACCACAACGTTAGCCAAACAGCCGTTTTGTCGTCCGAACTGTTCATGAAAGAGATAAGTGAAGTATCAACACAGGATGACATCGCAGGCGAAACACAATGAAATGAAATGGGGTTTATAGTCCTACTGTTCTGCTCTGATTGAGCTAATACGCCATACAGTGTGCCATGGGGGAAATTTTGATCTGTCAGTGGCGCTACGGCCTACTACCAAGGGATTTTTTTATGTGTACGTCAATGTGTACACGGACCTCGGTTTTTCGTCCCATCCGAACGGTAATACGCTGTCCCTTGTCAAGCACTAGTCCTGCACCACTGACAAGGGGGCATCTTTCTCGGCCAACAACGAGGTCGAACACGGGACTATCTCGTGAATTATCTATGAATTTAAGAAAAACGACGCCTGACATCTTCCTCTGAAGATGATCGAAAGGTAATTCCCTGGAATATGATGTAAGATAGACCCACGTAGCAAGAGATGATATATGGGTATGTAAAGATATGTCGGAAGAGGATATCATGGAATCAGTTCATAACCCATTAAAAGACGAGAATAAAAAATGTTGGAGGTTGCAGCCCAGCAGAGTATTCCCCAGAGAATAAAATGGAGTTGTATATATCAGACGAACATGATAAAAATCCTTCAATTATCGATCAAACAAGGATCCTAGGGTTTTTTTTTATATTTCTAGACCAAGTTTATTAAAGATGCATTATGTAAGATTTAGATAAAGAAATGACAGTTCCCGCTGTAATAGTTATAAAAATAGATAGTGACAATATGTTGAAAATATCAATCAAATTACTTCAGTCTGGGCTGAGTTATCGTCGTTAACAAAGCAGCGTAGTCTCAATTGTCATTGCTACCGTTGCTACGATAATAAACAAACTCGATTATTCATTTTTAAATTAAATCCTTAACTGCCAATCATACTTAAATCTGGTAAAAATTAAATCCAGCGAGTTGATTATGGGCATGCCAAATGAAAGATTATCATTAGGCAGGTTTAGCTCTAGAATACTGCATCTTTAAACCGAAAGCTCATATCAGCTGAGGAAACTAAATGCCTGTACAATGTTGAATACTGCACATGGTTTCCCCCTGTCAGTGGTGGATATGACATTGGCAAGACACAGCGTTGTTGGCCCCGGACAAAGCATTGCACTAAGGCCCCTACACACGCAACTACTGTATCCTCCTTCCAACAAAATCAATGTTTATAAACATTTGTCACTATATGCACCCGGTCAACTGCTCAGCGTACCCATACAAGTCGGTCGTGGGCAGAGTGCCTAGTCGTTCGGATGGACGAATAATCAAGGTCACGCCCAGGCGTGCCCGTAAAAGACCCTAGATAGTTGGAAATTGAGATAAAATTAGGATGTGGTGCCAATGATTTAATAAAGTTATCTCTATAGCACACTGCATGTCATATGCCAGTCTTCGTTAAACTGATCGGTGCAAAAACGTTAAACCCCTTTTCAGTTATTATCACTTCAGATATTCCATCTACAAACCTTCACAGATTTAAATGAAAACTGACAAAATCATGAATGAACTAAAGATATAGAACTATTTTTTTTATAATTTTACCATTACATTTGGGTGTGAAATAACAAAAGCTCTGTCATAGAAATAGGTTTTTAGTAAGTTAGTTAATTCCCCCCTGGGATGAACCAAGGGAATTGTGACAGCCTGTTAGTCGTTGTTATCACGTGTCTGTCAATCATAGCACGTGCTCCCCTAGAGATCGATAGTAAATATAAGATATCGTATTCTAACGTTTATTTTTCTTCTTGATATAAATGAAATGAACTGAAATGTGTTTTATAACGTCTTACTTTTCTGCACCAATCGGGATAATGAAGACGGGAATATGCTATCTATAATAGTAAGTGCAGGAAGACCGCACTGGACACAAACAAAACAGATAAGACAAACCTACGGACAAGATAAACTACACCGACACTGCTTTGCTCCTACTGGGCTAATGAGGGACATATTGCCCTACGACCTACTCTTATATCGAATTCCAACTGCGAGGGGATCCAGGGGATATTTTAAGTGCACGCCAATGTGTACACAGGACCTCGATTTCCGGTCCCATCCGAACGACTATACGTTGTCTCTTGTCAAGGCCTCCGTCCTTCACCACCGGAATCAAACGAGTGACCTCCAGGTTAGCGAGCCCCCGTTGAAGTTATCTAGGAAATGGTAAATATTAAAAATTAAAACATATTGCACGAGTACACCAGTAAAAACTTAACTCGTGTTTCAATCTAATAGTACAGAAGAAGACAATCTAACATATTTCAAACCACAGGGTCTTTTTGATTTAAAATTAAATACATGCAAAAGATAAACGGATCTAGCCTCCTACTTTCGAATGGAGGAAATTTTGCACGGACAGCACCGTTTCCGCCTACCTTTAATTCGATTTCCAACTGCCAGGGGATCATTCAGGCTGCCGATTGTTCCATCCAAACGTTGATATATAATTGTCTCTTGCTTCAATTTTTCTTTTTAATTTTCGTATATTGTCGGTCTCAGATCATTTATCTTCATTTAAAAATTTGATTGATGACTTGAAATATTCCTCTCTCTATTCCACGTGTCTCACAACATGACACCTGTCTCACAACCTGACAAGTAGCGCGTGACGTGTTTCTCATTCCCACTAATAATTGCAACTGCTTATACATGTATTAAGAACAGGCCTCATTTTCTTTATCAAAAACAAAATAAAAACTAAAAGAAATAGATATGACAAGACTTGTATATTTTATGGGGCTTTGGCTTATCTTCCTATCAGAAGTACGGGTCTCGTTTTCTTTGAGTTCACTGCCCGAATTTCAGCCCCTAACAGTAAGAGGTCAAATTACTTTAAAGGGCGAATTCGGAATTACAAAACACGAATTCGGAATTACAAAACACGAATTAGAATTTACTATTGGTTCATTTCAATCAATATTCATATTGTTATCTTACCGAGAAAATACGTGCTACAAATCTCAAATATTTAAGTCACAATGAAAAGTATTTTAATATCAGATCTGCCCATTAGTCCCGGGTGCCATTATTTGTAATGAGAAATTTCCATGGACGACGCAAAACATATCTTACTACAAATGTCTTACAACTCAATGTGGGATCAATTAAAAAAAGGCTATTTAACAAAAAGAAAAAACAGGCAAACTTGTAGACTGGATCAAACAGGGACTCACGATTGCCATTCAATTTGGTTTGCTCACCCAACATAATTGAATATACAGTTTATATGCAGTTTAAATGTGCTTGATCATAAGACCTATCATTTAGTCAAGTGGCATGGTTTCGATTCCCCGAGTAGGATCACCTGTCTAACCTTTTGGGTTTTCTCCGGGTTCTCCGGTTTCCTCATACTTCTAAAGACCCATACACGCAAGTGAATTATTGAAATTAAATTGAACCCGAAGTGGTTTGTGTCGAGTCGACGTTAAATCCCATTCTGCTCTCCCCCCCCCCTCTCTCTCTCTCTCTCTCTCTCTCTCATCGAGCCATGACCCCTTCTGGGTCACAATCAAGTGAATAAAAAAAACAATAAATATAATAATAAGGTCGAGTGTACAGTAATTATCAGATAATGACACGACCACCATCATATTCTAAACAACATTTATTACTGTAATATAACCTAGTCAAGTGTCCATTCCTAGTTATTATCCAATCCACAGGGACGGACTGAGTGCCATTTGAGTGTAAATGGTGCTTTCTAGGGTTTATCCTGGTGTTTTTGGCTTATGCACCAATTTGGAGCATGACAAATTCAAGAATAAAAAGGTTCCGAAAACTAAAGAATGGACCTCAATTACTTTAGAACATTAGCTTCGTTAGCCCCCACTCTTTAGACCCGTTATAATTCATTATTCTAGAACCGGATTCTTGTCTCATATCACTGGAAATGGCATTTCCAGAATTTTAGTTTTCGAAATTTTCCGGGGGAGGCCACCCGTGCGCCCCTATCCATGGTCTCTGGATCCGTCCTTGAAATATAAAAGAACCCTTGGCAGTTAGAATGCCAAGAAAAGAGTAGGCCATAGCGCCGCTGTCCATGCAAAATTTCAAACTTTCCCTCAGAACAGGTGGTATGGCCTATACCCGTCTTCATTAGCCCAATCAGAGCAGAACAGTAGGACGTAAAATCACATTTCATTTCGCTCCATTTCTATTCTGTTGGGAGTTTAATTTAAGCCGAAAGTTAACAAAATGGCGAATTTTCAAACATAACACAAGCAGTATCTTTCAAAATTTATATACCCATCAGTTATCTTTGTCGATCCATTTAAAAAAAAACCCTGGTCCATAAACTAAACTGCATTTCAAATTATCAAGAAGGTCCAATTTGTTTTTTTAAATTCAAAATGGACCAAAGAACATTTGTATTTTATTATAAATAATCAGTTGAAACGGAGACGTGACATATACCAAACTTAACCTGAAAGAAAATCATCAAAATGAAATTATTGTTTTTAGTAGCCGTCGTAGCAGGTAAGTAAACAATATTATGAAATTATTATGTGAAACAATATGGCGTTCCCTCCTACTCTAAAAAAAAAAGGGGGATGGGACATGCTGAACACCCAAAGGAATTTTCTCGATTAATACAGGAATCGAACGCGAGACCTCCTAGTGAGTAAGAATCATAATAATAAAAGCTTGTAGGATAATTATATCTGATATTCTATTTATTTCCAGCTGTATGGGTGGTAGAAGCTCAACATCATTGTCGTGAAGACCACGAATGTGGAGGTGTGACACACTGTGAACCTCACGAAGAACATTTCTGTGATGTACGTGAAGGAAGATGTGCATGTAGAGGTCAGTACGGAAGCCACTTCATGACGGTAGAATGGGAATCGCGGTGGCTCAGTGAGTGGCGGTGGCTCAGTGGTGTTGGGGGAGAAATTACCTCGGGATTTTCCGGCGTGTTTCCCCTTGTCAGTGGTACAGGACAGAGGGCCTGGCAAGTAACCGCGCTAAGCAAAATTGGTCCCGATGAGTCGAAATGGCGTAGTCTTGTGTATAGTAGAATCGTAATTGACTGCTGGATTAAAATTTAAAACATGTTGTACAGTGTTTTTCGGGCATCATAAATATTTGTTTCATCCATTTCCCGGAAATTGGTTGATTGGAATTCAAGTCGGCAAGCAGTGGGATTTCTGTTGAAACCCCAAATAAATAAGGCTATATTGAACCACTTTGAGATTGTTGTATACTGTCAGTCTGGAATAGCAGTAAAACGGGTTTGCGTCCGCCAAATTTCAAAATTTTCTCGCGGAGGCCACCATACCCCAGACGTAACGGCTCTATAGATGACAATTTCCGTGCATTATCATTTGTTTCGTCAATTTGTCGGGTAGTTAACCCATATACAAATTCGGTGCGCTTCGCGCTTGTAGCCTTCGCTAATAGCAAACATGAACTTTTTCGAGCATTTCATTTCTGCCCCCGTAACATTCATGAGGCCCGTGTGCCTATTCGGGTTACCACGTTGAGAAACCTATTTAAATTATATTTATCTATTCTATTTTCAGATCGACATTTTGTAGGAAAACGACAACAACAGCATTGCCGTGACCATGCTGAATGTGATCATGGCCAATGTAATGCTAACTCAGAAGGTTTCTGCGACGAGCATGGAATTTGTGGCTGTCGAGGTAAGTACGCATGCCAGTTAATGTCACAATGAAGCCATGGCGAGGGCGTTTTCACCTTGATAAACATGTCCTATTATAATTTCAGATCTACCCCATTGTGGAGATAATCGTGATTGTGGACATCTGCAGTGTGGAGCTCATGAAGAAGCTTTCTGTGATGAAAATCATGGCTGCCATTGCAGAGGTAAGTACGTAATGCACTCGACATAAGATAATAGAATAAAGCCATGGTTAAACCTGCGTATATTAATATAAAGCTATGGTCCCACACAAGAATATTATATAGCTATATGATATTGTGACAGGACGCCTAAACGGACCACGGTAGAAAATCCCTGGGAAAATTCTCGGCCAAAATCGAAACCATCGTTAGTAGACCAGTGCCTTACACTGAGACATCGTGTCGCCCCCCTTTCAAGTTAGTCTCGAAATAACCTACTAGATTTCACCGATAATTATCATTATTCAACTGTCAATAAGTTCTCCAATCTGTACATTAATATGACGTCATTTCAGACTTGCCGGCAACTAATTGTCGAGACGATCGTGAATGTGACCATCTAGCACACTGTGGTAATAACCAAGATCCTTCCTGTAACCAGCAGGGAACCTGTTTTTGTAGAGGTAAGTACGTAATGCACTTTATGGCGCAAGCTACTAGAATGAAGTTACTGGTCAAACCAAGTATGTTACTCTAAAACCGTAGCCAATGCCATGGTCAAAATAACGTATCTAAACCCATGGTTGAACCAACGTATATTACTTTAAAGCCATGGTCAAAATAACGTATATTACTCTAAGGCCTTGTCAAACCAAAGTAAATTACTCCAAAACCTTGGTTAAACCAACGTATATTACAATAAAGCCATGGTCAAACCAACGTGTATTACAACGAAGCCATGGTCAAACCCACGTGTATTACTAAGAAGCCATGATCAAACCAACGTATATTATTTTCAAGCCAGGATTAAACCAAAGTATAATACTATGAAGACATGGCCAAGCCAGCGTATATTAAAATAAAGCCATAGTCAAACCAATGTAATTAACACTTTCTAGATGTATGCGATATCACCTTCGACGTGGAAGCGAATGTTAAGCCATATCTAGTAATAGTAATATCAAAATGTAGTATTTAATTTGTGTCTGTTATTTGATGTTTTTCAGACCGACCTGTCGGTTAACGACAGTGCTACCATTGGGCAACACCAGAATGTCAACAAGGTCATTGTCACTGTCATCATCTGTGAAAATAAACTGTATAATTAGTCTATCCAATTCGTTCTGCTATTTCAATGTCGAAAATCTGTAAAACATGCCCCATTTCAAATAAATTCAAACGAGTCCACCGGCTAAGAAAACGTATTACGCGCATGCTTTATGATCTTTATTGAAAATCTGACAATGTAATTTGGGGAACTGAATGGGCATTGTGTTTATGTTGGAAATTAAATGGGGTTTAACGCCCTACTGTTCTGTGCCGATTGCGCTAAGAAAAACGGACATACCCTATGCAGTGTGCTATGATGGTAATTTTGCCTACTCTTATATCAAATTCCAACTGTCACGGGTTCTTTTACGTGCCCGCCAATGTGTACACGGGACATCGATTTTTTGTTCCATCCAAACGGCTATACATTGTCCCTTGCCAGGTTAGCCAGCCAACGTCTTACTCACTAAGCCACCGCGGCTCCACTAATCTTGGATAATTCACTGTATCACTTTTATAAACGCGCCAGGGAGCATCCCTTCAGCATCGTTAATTGTCCGGTTGGTCGGGAGAGTCCATATTGGTCGGGAGGGGTCCATATTGTCAGGCCCGTAAGGACAACATATTGTCAGGCCGGTTGGAAGAGTCTTTTGTCTGGCGAGTTGTGAGAGTCTAATGTCAGACTTGTTGGGAGAGTCTATTGCTGATCGGGCCGTCCATATTGTCAGGCCAGTTGGGAGAGTCCATATTGTTAAGCCCGTAAGGACTGCATAATGTTTGGCCGGTTTTAGGGTTCATATTTTCAGGCCCACTACAACAGCATAATGTCAGGATGTTTGGGAGAGTCTATTGCAAGCCAATTGGGAGAGTTTATATTGCCCGGCCGGTTGGGGAGGTGATTTATATACTTGATGATAACCCTAGCTAAGGAAGGGTAACTAAAATATATATACTAATGAGTTTGTTTTTAGCTAAGACTGGGAGCCTTTAGTTTCACCTAGCAAATGTAATTCTTTTATTAATTTGTGTAAAATCACAAGAAATAAGTTAATTTTATGTTGTTAAACATACTCGATCAGGTCAGTGTAGTGAAACAACTTTCATTTATCTGCAAATATTCTCAGTAAAGTTTTAATAAATTGATACGGTCATACATACTTACCGTGCATGATAGTCATGCGCGACCCATACATGTTCTCTACTTTTTGCGTAATTTGATTGACATATATTTAGCCCCGCCTTCAGGACGTAAAGGCGCCAAACCTATTCCGTTTTAAAATGTCGGGCAAAGCTTCAATTTATAAGAGATGATTTGCGCCTGTGTCAGGTAGGATTATATGCTTTATTGTAGTTGGATGTGGCAGAAATGTAATAAATAACAAAAATCAATCGTTGATTTGAAGAAAAAAACCCGACAGTTTTTCTTATTGAACTATATGAACTATGTAGTACCAAATCCCATCTCGTCCGGTTGGTGCAGGGTAGTAGAACAATCAATGACCCGTGTCCATCATTATTAACTTTGCTTTAATTCTTTCAAACAAACGTATCCACCAATGATTGAAATAACGTTTCACTTATTCTCTGGAGACCCTCCCTCTGACGAAAGTCCTCTGAGAACCCATAGCACTATGGATCAGAAACGCTCGCTGGATGATATCTTGAGGCAGTCACTGAACCCAATCGTTAACACAAACAATTGGATAAGGATTCATTACCAAAATAGAGACGTTTTGATATTTGTTCTTCTGGGGATCTTAAAGGGTCATTCTCGATTACATTTTAAAGAATAAAACTGCTTAATTTTGTCTTAAAAGCCCTTAAAATCCATTGGACTCTCCCAACTCGCGAGACAAAAAACTCTCCCAACCGGCCCGACAGTGACAATACGTTGCCCATACGGGCCAGACAATATGGAGTCTTCCGACCAACCTGAATGGATTGCGCGTTTATAATAGTGATACTTTTGTTTCTCCAACATGGGATGGGGGCGGGGGAGGCGATGGCTCAGTGAGTAAGACGTTGGCTCGCTAACCTGGCAAGGGGCAACGTATAGTCGTTCGGATCGGACGAAAAACCGACGTCCCATGTACACATTGGTGTTCACGTGAAAGAGCCCTTGAAGTTGGAATTTGACATATGCCTAAAAGTAGACCATAGCGCTGCTGTCCGGGCAAAATTTCCCTCAAAATACACTGTATGGCGTATTTCCGTTTTTATAAGCCCAGTCAGTACAGAACAGTAGGGCGTTAAACCTCATTTCAGAGCAGGCCATGGTGCTGCTGTCAGGGCAGAATTTCCTTCATAGCACATTGTAAGACTATGCCCGTCTTAATTAGCTCAGCTTAATTAGCCCAGTTGGTACAGAATAGTGGGACGGTAAACCCCATTTCATTTCCAACATAAACACAATGCGTATTCAGTTCTCCAAATTACATTGTCAGATTTTCAATAAAGATCATAAAGCATGTGCGTAATACATTTTCTCAGCTGGTGGGCATGTTTTACAGATTTTCGACATGGAAATAGCAGAACGAATTGGATAGACTAATTATACAGTTTATTTTCACAGATGATGACAATGACCTTGTTGACATTCTGGTGTTGCCCAATGGTAGCACGGTCATTAACCGACAAGGCGGTCTGAAAAACATCAAATAACAAACACAAATTAAATACTACATTTTGATATTACTATTACTAGATATGGCTTAAGATCCGCTTCGATGTGTTTTGATATCACTAAAATTAACGTTTTAAAGTAATACGCATTTGTTTGACCATGGCTTTATAGTAATATACGTTGGTTTGACCATGGCTTTATCGTTGGGTTGACTATGTCTTTATAGTAACATACTTTGGTTTAACAATGGCTTGATTGTACTACACGTTGGTTTGACCATGACTTTATCATATGCGTTGGTTTAAGCTTAGCTTTAGAGTAGTATACATTGGTTTGAAAAAAGGTTTTACATTAATATACCTTGGTTTGACCATGGCTTTACAGAAATATAACTTGGTTTGACTAGTGGATTCATTCCAGTAGTTTGCGTCATAAAGTGCATTACGTACTTACCTCTACAAAAACAGGTTCCGTGCTGGTCACAGGTAGGATCTTGGTTATTACCACAATGTGCTAGATGGTCACATTCACGATCGTCTCGACAATTAGTAGCCGCGAAATCTGAAATGACGTCATGTTAATCTACAGCGTGGACAACTTATTGACAGTTGAATAATAATTATTATCGGTGACATTTAGCCATTTAGGTACTGGACCACTAACAGGGGGGTACGGGGTTCGCTCGGTTTTGGCCGAGAATTTTCCCGGGATTTTCTACCGTGGTCCGTTTAGGCGTCCTGTCACAATATCATATAGCCAAATAATATTCTTGTGTGGGACCATAGCTTTATATTAATATACGCAGGTTTAACCATGGCTTTATTCTAGTATCTTATGTCGAGTGCATTACGTACTTACCTCTACAATGACAGCCATGATTCTCGTCACAGAAAGCTTCTTCATGAGCTCCACACTGCAGATGTTCACAGTCACGATTATTTCCACAATGAGGTAAATCTGAAATTATAACAGATATAAAACATGTTTATCAGGGTGAAAACACCGTCGTCATGGTAAAAAAATACTCCCACTCAAATTACACACATATAACCATATAAATAAAAATATCACTTTAATTCTAGTTCTGGGTTGGTTTGACCATGGCTTCATTGTGAAGTGACATGCGTACTTACCTCGACAGCCACAAATTCCATGCTCGTCACAGAAACCTTCTGAGTTTGCACTACAGTGGCCATGATCACATTCAGCATGGTCACGACAATGGTGTTGTTGTCGTTTTCCTACAAAATGTCGGTCTGAAAATAGAACAGATAACTATAGTTTAAAAAAATGTTACTCAACTTGGTAACCCGAATAGGTACACAGGCGTCATGAATGTTACGGGAACAGAAATGAAATGCTCGAAAATCTTCAATTTTACAGGAGTCATTAACGAACGCCGCAAAAGTCGCAAGAGGAATCACACCGAATGTGGATGTGGAGGTCCTTCCCGAGACAATTTAGAGAATTAACCTACTGGGAGGTTGTCGGTTAGTTGAGAGCGATGATGATCCATCCCCTCCCCCGAGGACATTTTAAAACTTAGAGCTTTTTCATGCTATTCAAATCCGCAAGTATAACAAATTCTAGGTGGTCCAATATAGTTTTACTTATTTGCTGGCCTGAATTCAAATCATATCAGATTATTGTAGCTATACATTCATCGAACACCAGACAATAAACTACCCGACAAATTGGCGAAACAAAATTTTTGTAATGATAATGCACGGAAATGTTCTTATATAGACAATGAAGCCATTACGTCTAGGGTATGGTGGCGTCCGCGAGACAATTGTGAAATTTGGCGGACACAAACCCGTTTTCCTGCTATTCCAGACTGACAGGTATACAACAATTTCAAAGTGGTCCAATATAGCCTTATTTTTATGGGGTTTCAACAGAAATCCCACTGCTTGCCGACCTGAATTCCAATCAACCAATCAATCGGACTTTCCGGAAAACCGACGAAACAAATATTTATGATTCAAGTAGGGCATACACGCGACCTAGCTTTTTCGTCGCACTAAACGATTGACGCCGTTACTTGCCAAGCCCTTTGTCCTGTAGCACTGACAAGGGGAAACCACGCCGGAGAATCCCAACGTAATGTCCCCGCCAATACCGATATGGAACAACGAACCTCCTGTTTAGCGAGTAAGGGAACATCTTACTCACTAAGCCTACCTAGTGTTATGAAGTGGCTTCCGTACTAACCTCTACATCCACATCTTCCATCACGTACATCACAGTAATGTTCTTCGTGAGGTTCACAATGAATCACAGCTCCACATTCGTGGTCGTCACGACACTGATGTTGAGCTTCTACAATCCATACAGCTGGAAATAAATAGAATATCAGATATAATTATCCTACAAGCTCTTATTATTATGATTCTCACTCACTAGGAGGTCTCGCGTTCGATTCCTGTATTAACCGAGAAAATTCCTTTGGGTGTCCAGCATGCCCATCACACTTTTTGGAATAAGAGGGGACATATAATTCTTATGATGTCTCATTAACTTGAAGGTATCTGGATCGATCCCTGTATTAACTGAGAAAGGTCCTTTGTGTGTCCAGCATGCCCCCCCCCCCACACACACATATTTACGTGCACGCCAGTGTTAGCTATGCTTACGTGCACGCCAATGTCCTCCATGCCTACGTGCACCCCAATATTCCACATGCTTACGTGCAATCCAATGTTCTCCATCCTTCCATGCACGTCAATATTCCTTATCGTTACATGTACGCTAATGTTCCTCATCGTTACGTTCTCGCCAATGTTCCTCTTCCTTACGCGCACGCCAATGTTCACACTATTGGACCATGCTTTTATATACTAGATCCTCTTTCTTACCAGACCCTACCTCTTGTACCACTGACAAGACTGGAAAATACCTAGAACATAGCGCCATATTGTTTCACATAAAGAAATAATTTCATAATATTATTTACTTACCTGCTACGGCCGCTACTAAAAACAACAATTTCATTTTGATGATTTTCTTTCAGGTAAAATTTGGTATATGGCACGTCTCCGTTTCAACCGATTATTTATAGTAGCTCACAACAAATGTTCTTTGGTCCATTTTAAGATTAAAAAACAAATTGGACCTTCTTGATAGTTTGAAATGCAGTTAATGGGCCATGGTTTTGGTTTAAAAGGATCGACAAAGATAACTGATGCATGTTTTTAAATTTTGAGAGATAATGCTTGTTTTACGTTTTAAAATTCGTTACTTTGTTTTTTAAATTATTTCAATTCAATTTAAATTAAAATCTCAACAGAATAGAAATGAAATGAAATGCGGTTTAACGTCCCGTTGTTCTGCTCTGACTGGGCTAATTAAGACGACATACGCCATATAGTGTGTTATGAAGGAAATTTTGAAATTTTGCCTCGACAGCGGCCCCTCGTTTTTTAAATTCCAATTGTCAATCAAATAATGATTTATTACCGGTTCTTTTAAACAAAAACCGTGGTCCGTAAACTATAGTTCCTATTATCAAGAAGGTCCAGATGATTTTTAAATTTCAAAATGGACCAAATAACATTTCTGTTTTAATATAAATAATCAGTTGAAACGAAGACCTGATATATACCAATCTTTACCTGTAAGAAAATCATCAAAATGAAATTATTGTTTTTAGTAGCCGTCGTAGCAGGCAAGTAAATGTTATAAAATTATTATTTCTTTATGTGAAATAATGTGGCGCTGCTTCTCACTATTTGAAAGACCTCAGGTGTTTAATCCTCGGATTTGTTCCTGTCCGCGTTCCTATTTTCAGTTGTGAAGGAGAATGGTCTGGAATGTCAAAGTGTTTAGTTCTACGTGTGGGATGAAAAACCGAGGCGTGCACGTAATCAAACTCTTAAAAATTGTAAACAAACCCTTGACATGCAAAATGTTCCTCTTAAAGTTACGATTTCATATTTTCTAAGAAAGTCAAAACATAATTATTTCTATGTCTTTTGCTCAATAGGTTGTCAACTCACTATTGTACGATCATAGGTGTCATTCTCACACGTAAAACTCATTTACACCGGAAATAATAACACAATTACCTCCCAATTACCTCCCTTGTTTTCTGTTCTCCACCATGGAGTAGCTATCTTCAAACGTTTGAATTTGAAGAGGAAAATGATATTTTTGCCATTTTTAACTGGCAATAGTGAATTATAGGATTAATAGGATTATTCTTTAACAAGGTAGGACTGTTTATAGATACCATCTATTTTAAGGCTTTATTTTAATACATTTTAAAAATATAACTTAAATATGAAATTGCAACTTTAAACCAAGCACACTGCATGGCGTATGTCCGTTAGTGAAGAAAATTCGGACGTTAAACACCCATTTCATTTTTTATAAATTGTTATTTCTGATACTTGATCAAACTGTGACGGTTGTGTTTAGGTTACTCGAGACATCTTGGCTAAAATGACGCCGGCTCACTAACCAGGGATTGTCGGGTTCGTCGAGAATGTTTCTATGTATTTTCCAGCTTTGTCAGTGGTACAAGAGGTAGGATCTGGCAAAAAAGAGGATCTTGTATATAAAAGCATGGTCCAATAGTGTGGACATTGACGTGAACTTACGCATGGGAAACATTGGCGTCTACGTAACGATGAGGAACATGGGGGAAACCATGCAGGACACCCAGAGAACTTATCTCGGTTAATTCCGAGATTGAACCCGACACTTCCTGGTGAGTGAGACAATATAAAAATAAAGGTTTGTAGAATTATTATATCTGATATTTTTTTTAATTTTCAGCTGTATGGGTGGTAGAAGCTCAACATCTTTGTCAAAACGACCACGAATGTGCAGCTGTGATCCACTGCCAATCTAACGAAGAACATGTCTGTGGTAATGATGGAAGATGTGCATGTAGAGGTTAGTACGGAAGCCACTTCGTGACACTAGGTAGGGAGTCGTGGTGGCGCAGTGAGCGAGACGCCGACTCGCTCGCTAACAAGGAGATCCTGGATTTCACCCCAGTGTTGGCCGAGAAAGCCTGGCAAGTAACAGCGTCTAGTGATTCAAGTGGGACGAAACCCCGAGGTCGCGTGTACTCCCTTCTCTAAAGAGAATAGGCTATGATGAGCCGAAATGGCCTTGTCTCTCTTTTTTGCCTCTTAGTAAGTCGTAAATAGATGTACCGTTGAATTCAGCAGGCAGTGTAATTAAAGCTAACATTCGGGTTACCACGTTGAGTAACCCATAGTTATCTATTCTATTTTCAGACCGATCTGTTGTAGGAAAACGACAACAACACCACTGTCGTGACGATGGTGAATGTGACCATGCCCAATGTAATATTAACTCAGAAGGTTTCTGTGACGAGCATGGAATTTGTGGCTGTCGAGGTAAGTACGCATGTCACTTAATGTCACTATAAAGTAATTGTCAAACCAACTTATAGTACAATAAATCCGCGTGTATTATTATAAAGGCATGGTCAAACCAACCCAGAACTAGAATGAAAACATAATTGTAACATGCTTAAGGGTGAATTTTGCCTTTTGATCAATTAGACACTGTCGATTGGACAATAACACTCCTCTGTTTTAGTAATGTCTTTTAAAATGCTAAAATAGCATTTGAGGGGGTGTTATTGTGCAAAAGACATGTCCTGAGATTTTACTTCAGAACCTTTGGGTCCTAATGATCTCAGGACATGTCTCTTGCACATGTCACCCTTTGATGTTTTTAACCAGTATATAGGAGAATGTACGCTTTTCATAAACAGTCGTCTATTATTTATAAAACTGTCCATTATTTTCAATAAATAATGGACCGTTTCATAAATAATAGACGAGTGTTTAAGAAAAGCGTATATTTTTACCAATAATATACACTTATCTGAAAAATGAACATGTATTTTGGGATAATTTATTCTCTGAACAAAGAACATGACATTACTTTAAAACTTCATAGTTATCGAAATGTCACATGACCAAATGTTGATTTCACGTGTTTGTTTACATGAAGAATTCCACTTATCCACTTATATGTCACTGGTATGTTTAATAGTACGTTCGGCACTTGATCGATGATTCGTTTTTATACGCCCACATTTTTACATTTTCTTTGTAGACACTTTACAGGTCATAACTTGAAATATAGGTTTATATCCCAAAGATCTCGGTTCATTTCGATATTTGCTTATATGGGACCGTACCTTCATGGATTATGTCCCCTGACTGTACACACTAGAGGTCACAATTTTTATCCCCTTTTGATAAAATTGAACATGTGTGTTTATAACCCAAAGATCTCGATTCCATGCGATATTGGCACATATCGGACCGTAACTTCCTGGATTATGGCCCCTAATTGAACAAAAAAAAAACGCGTTTTGAGACTGTGCAACCTATACAGGTCACAATTTTTATCCGATTTTAAAAACTGTTCAAATATATCACCGTTACACCATATAATGACAGTTGAGTTTGATTTGGTTTGTGCCTTTGTCACTGTCACTTTTATCAGAGTATATATTAAATTTCAAATCAAAATATGGACGACTAGTAACCTCCATATTAACTAACCACAGTACTAAGAATATTATCAATATCTAAATCATTTTCGTGAGCATCCTTTCCATCACAAATTTGACGGCTATTATTCTCCATATCAAGAATTTCACATTTTTTACGTCTGTTGTCTTCCATATCGAGTACATCGCCAAATGTAATCAGTATCCAAATTCTTATCACCAATTTTCATTAATATTTGTATTGGACTGTGTTATAAACATGTCGTTTCCATGTCGAATATTTTGGACTGTCTGTACGGTGTATGCTTGCATTGTATGACTAGGTGTTTTGTCGCATGCATCCATGTGCATGTGCATTTTGTTTGTAGAATATATTCATTATTTTTGTGGTTTGTTCTTTTAAAACTATCCATTATTTGTATCTCTATGGTGCTATGTTTGAAGTTTGATAATAGCCTCAGACTGTCCATTATGTAAATACAAAGAAAAACTTCGGGGCTAACGCCCCTCAGTTGTTCTTTCTATTTACATAACGGACAGTCTTCGGCCATTATCCATCACTTATGTTACATTTTTATTTATTTATATTGTTATACGTGTGTAATTCGAGTGGAAATATTTTGCCACGACTATGACGTTCCCACCTTAATTAACATGTCATATTATAATTTCAGACCTACCTCATTGTGGAGAGAATCGTGACTGTGGACATCTGCAGTGTGCAGCTCATGAAGAAGCTTTCTGTGACGCACAACATGGCTGCCATTGCAGAGGTAAGTACGTAATGCACTCGACACAAGATACTAGAATAAAGCCATGGTCAAACCAACGTATATTACTATAAAATTATAGTCCCACCAGAGAATATGATATAGCTATATGATATTGTGACAGGAAGCCCGAAAATCCCGAAGAACATTCTTGGCCAAAACCGAAACAAACCCCGTACCTCCTTGTTAGTGAACCAGTGCCTTTCACTCTTTACCACCGTGGTTTCTTCCTTCCATTAAAGTTAGTCCCGAAATGTCCTAGTTTGTGTTGAGTGGACATTAAACCCCATTTCACCGATAATTATTGGTCCAGTACCTTTCACCCTGAGATACCGCGCCCTTCCCCAGCCTATACTCGAAATGATCTAGTTTGAGGACATTAACCCCCATTTTTCCCTCTGCCTAGATTTCACCGATAATTATTAATAATATTTAACTGTCTTTAAGTTCTCCACGTTGTAGATTAACATGACGTTATTTCAGACTTGCCGGTAGCTCATTGTCGAGACGACCGTGAATGTGGACATCTGACCAATTGTGCCAATAATCAAGAACCTTCCTGTAACCAGCAGGGAGGCTGCATTTGTAGAGGTAAGTACATAATGCACTTTATGACGCAAGATACTTGAATAAATCCATGGTCAAACCAACGAATATTGCTCTAAAGCCATGCTCAAACCAACGTATATTACTCTAAAACCATGACTAAACCAACGTATGTTCTAATATAATCAGGTTCAAACCAACGTATATTACTATAAACCCATGGTCAAACCAATGTATATTCCTCTAAAACCGTGGTCAAACCAGCGTATATGACCATAAAGCCATGGTCAAATCAAAGTATATTATGATAAAGCCATGGCTAAACCGATGTGTATTATTTATAAACGTCAATATAAGTGATGGCCAAACATGCTCAATCCATTTTATCTTGATCGGGATCACCCTTGGCGTGGAAGCGGATGCTAAGCCTTATCTAGTAATAGTAATACCCAAATGTAGTATTTAATTTGTATCTGTTATTTGATGTTTTTCAGACCGACCTGCCGGGGTAACGCCAGTGTGATCATTGGGCAACGCCAGAATATCATCAAGTTCATTGTCACTGTCATCATCTGTGAAAATAAACTGTATAATTAGTCTATCCAATTCGTTCTACTATTTCATGTCGAAAATCTGTAAAATATCCCTTATTTCATTTATATTCAAACGAGTTCACCGACTAAGAAAACGTATTACGCACATGCTTTATTGAATTTGTATAATTGTGTTTATGATGGAGAGATGAAGTAGGGTTTAAAGCTATAAAGTTCTGTATCGAATGGGATATTGAAGACGGAAAAATGGTATACAGTATGCTGTGAGGGAAATTTTGCCCGGACAGCAGCACTATGATCTACTCTTATAGCGAATCCAAAGTGTCAAGGGATCTTTTACGTGCACGCCAATGTGTACACGGAACCTAGGTTTTTTTCCCCTATCCAAACGACTATACGTTTCCCCTTGTCAGATTTTCGAGCCTATTGTCTTACTCACTGAGACACCGCCCCCACCCCCCGTGTTGGAGAAACCAAAGTGTCACTTTTATAAATGCACCAGGAGGAATCCATTCAACATCAAAGGGAGAGTCGTCTATTATCCGGTTGGTTGGGAGAGTCCATATTCTCCGGCCGGATGGGAGAGTCCATATTGTCAGGCCGGTTAGGAGAGTGCATTGTCAGGCTATGTGGGAGAGTATATTGCAAGGCCGGTATGGAGAGTCAGTGATGTCAGACCGGTTAGAAAAGTAAATTGCCAGGCCAGTTGGAAGAGTCTATATTGCTAAGGCCGGTTTCGGAGGTCATTTGTTTACGTGACGTCTAAGCCTAGCAAAAACTTGCTTCACAAATCAAACCAGGTTGAGCTCTCCAGTGCTCAGCAGTAAAAGTAAACATTGCATACTAACGCCTCACTGGTCAATATATCCACGGAAAAGTTCAAAAAAGTTCGAGAGAAATGGGGTGTAACGCCCACTCGACACAAACTAGGTCATTTAGGGACTAAAACATGATTTTTTTCATTATTATTTCAATAATTCGCTTGCGCGTATGGGTCTTTTGCAGCGGGAGGCCCCGGAGAAAACCCAAGAGGTTAAAAAATGTTCGACCGCCCCGACACCAAAGCACATTGGCACGGCAGGTGCAGATTAGAAATGGTTCCACTACTAATGTCCTCCGTCTTGCTCCAGCCACATCGACGATTCTGTAGATAGATGCACCAAAATCCTAAACTTAATGAGGAAAATAACGGGCAGCACTTGGGGGGCTAACAGAGTCACACTAATGACGGTGTATCGTGCTCTAATAGTAGGGTGACCCACGCACCTACAGAAATACAGTCAACCGCTGATAGTTCGAGACTACCACTGAAGCGTGCACATTCGCCGTATCGAGGCCAACTTTCTGACAGTATGATACTATAAATAGCCATGGCACGTGCAATTCTCTACAAATCTATCAACTATTACAGCCGTAAAAAATTTATTGTTGACGATTTTGAATAGCAGTAAAATTAAGCTTCTTGGTTATTACAGCAGATTTAGAAATTACGTTCGTTTCATTTTTTAAATCGCTTTATCATTAACTGTACCGTTAAGAGCGGCATCTTTTGGTTTAGTACAAATAATATCTCTGAAACACTCGGGTTAGACAGGAACATAATACTAGCAGTAGTTTCATTTTACTTTTACAAGCTTCTTAAAACAATTGTTGAGCTAGCTAACGTGCTCATTTCTAAATTCAATTTCTTGTTCTAGCTTTCTGTTATGTTTCGTAAAAAGTAGTCTTGATTATCCCGACCTGCCAATCAGCCCTAGAATGGTCGATAGACTGGTTAAGCGAGACTAATTTCAAAACAAGGGCACATAACCTATCTTTTACTCAAAAGTGTCTGGATGTTATGGACGACACATGGTACCAGTTTTCAGTCTATTATTTATAGATAATTAATGGTCATAGCTTATTAAGTACAACATGATCGTTTATTTAGTGACTATAATTGTGTGAAACTGATTTGAGGCTTGGCATATATATAAGTATTGTGGCGAAATTGTCGAGATATATGGAGATATTTATTTATGGTGGGTCACCCTACGATCTGAATTAGACTACGGCTCTCTCGCCTTCATGAACTGCGCGCCATTACTCTTAAGGAAGCTTGACACCATCCAATACAAAGCTCTGTGTATTGCGACTGGCGTAGGGCAAGGGACTGGGAGAGAGGCACTACTGCAGGAAGTCGGGGAGTTGCCCCTATCCCTAAGAAGAAAAGAACTAGCGACAAGGTACTGGGCTAAGATCTCGCAACTGGGCGAAAGATCCCCAACCTTTGTCAGTCTACAAAATACAAGATATGTGAGAGATCCTAGAAAGAAAAGCTTCGGTCAGGGTATCAGGGAAACAATCAAGGAAATGCGACTGGGGGAGCTCGTGATAAATGAACACGACCCCCCAGCGATCGCCCCTTGGACGCTCCCTATACCGCCGGTTAATCTAGATCTACTACAGAAAACCGACAAGAAAAACAACCCCACTGCTGCACGTGCTTTCTCTCTAGAACACCTGGAAGACAACTGGCCGTCTGATGACTGTGACCATGTGTACACAGATGGCTCACGCAATCCTGAAAGGGGCACCAGCTCATTTGGAATATACCTGCCAAACGGGGAACGGGGAATAAGCAGGAAACTGCCCAATAACTGTTCGCTTGTGGCCATTCGTGACGCTATATCATGGATTTCCCATCAAAAGACTATACTAGTAAGTTCGTCATTCCAAGCAACTCTCTGAGCAGTCTGATTTCAATCCAAAATGACAACTCGGACTCAAGACCAGAAGTCATTTTGGAAATCAGGCAGCTGTACCAGAGGGTTTTACAGAAGGGAAGCAAAGTAGAACTCGTGTGGATTCCATCACATGTCAACATTAGAGGAAACGAGGAGGCAGATCGACTCGCCAATGAAGGTCTCAAGGACACAGCACCACTCCGCACCACGGAAATCTACAGTATGGTCAAAAGACAGGTCAATTCAATCTGGGAATTAAATCTCGTTGACCTTGACACATACAGATTACGGCTGGATGACAAGATCTACACAAAGACAACACTCAATCACCCTAGAAGAGATATTTGTAGACTTATATCGAAGCTAAGGGTGAAAGAGCGGCTGCGAGACTACAAACACCAAGTCATCATCTGTGAGTGCGGAGAAGAATGTACCACCAACCATGTCCTGGTAGACTGCGAGGTATACGAGGAGGAGAGAAGGGGACTAGTGAGAACAATGGAGACCAACAACATACCATTCAACACTAAGAACCTACTCTTCCCGAGACCAGATCTGAAACTGCAAATCTTCGAACAAATCCACGCCCTAATGGACAAAGTTGGATTAAGTAGAATAGTGAAGTAAGAGGGGGTCACGGTTAGACGGGCCCGGCATCTAAACACTAAACTACATAGGGGATTTATACCAAACTGGCAGGATAGTGGAGTAAGAGGGAGTCACGATCAGACGGACTCGGCATCTAAACACTATTCCACCAAAAACAGACACCAAACCTACAGAGTGGGATAGTGGAGTAAGGGGTGGTCACGATAAGACGGGCCTGGCACCTAAACACAAACCCCACAAAGATGACATCTACCAAACTAGCAGGATAGTGGAGTAAGGGGGAGTTACGGTCAGACGAACTCGGCACCTAAACACTATTCCGCAAATAAAACTGATACCAGACCCAGAGAGTGGGATAGTGGAGTAAGGGAAGGCCACGATAAGACGGACCTGGCACCTAAACACTAACCCCAGACGATGACATCTACCAATCCAGAAGCAGACGAGATCATCTACCAAACGATATGTTTTTTATTAAATAAAGGGAAGGACTTCCCACTAAACCAAATCCATGGCCTAAGGCCAAATGGAAAGATTGCAAAATCATATTCTAAAAAACAGGAATCAGCTTCGGCTCTCCTATGTCTTGTCTGCGATATCACTTATGTGGAAGCAGACGTTAAACACCAAGAACTAACTAACAAACTCCAGCCACAGTAGTGGACCGTCCTAAGACCTTCCTTTGAGCAAGTTTTGTAGTTAACGGACTAAAAAAAGTTACTGGCTTATAACTCCCCTAATTTCCAATAACGCTGTACTGTACATAGCTTAGCATATGATAAACCAATTCTCATTGAAATAAAAGTGAAATCTTACTGTATAATTATATGATTTGATTAAACCCAACTGCTATGCGAAATTTCTGTTCAGTTAAAAACGGCTATCGAACCAGAATCACGGGGTGTTATGTCACTCGAAAAACTGTTCGGTAAGATAAGATTATGATTTCAGTGTTCCTCTCTTCACTATTTGTAACATAATTACTTATTTCCATGCAAACTGTGAAGATATGTGTTGAAAATTTTGTAATTGAACCTAATTTTACTTGCCCAAAGCCTTGAATAGTGTATCAATTGCAGCCGTAGATAAGAATTATCACGGCTAAAAAATTGCAGCTAGGTCCAGATATACAGGATGTTAAATCTCAAGATTCTTTCCCATTCTTGATCCTATCCTTCACAAAATATTGATTAAAATTTTCAAAATTATCATAGAAGAGACCCGCACCCCCAACAGGTTTCTCAGTGTTATAGTCACTTCTCTAACAACAATCATAGTATGACATGGACTTTATGTCAACGTGAATAGACCTACTTTTCGGTGAGATAACAATCGGCGAACAACTATATAGGCAATACGATCTATGTTCTACCGGGGCACTCAGACAGTGTTATAGTCAGTATTTTGTTGACATTCATCGTGAGGTGGGATTGTGAATGGCGCCCTAGATTTGGAATGCACCCCCCCCCCCCCCACACACACACACACACAAACACACCTATTTACTGCTTGCAGATCCTCTACAGACAAACCATGTGAACTAAGCAGGTTGAAGTACTGCTAAAACCGGGGTTTCACCAAAACACCACATTATCAAACGAGTGTAGACTTGGTAAAGCACATTCACGTCATCCAAAGCCCCCGTGTCCGTATCCAGTCGTAAGGCAAATGAATCATGCGCCAGGCCAAGTTGTCAATTGTTCTCTCATATT